GATAACCTAAGCTTAAGGTCACTACTTCATAGCCACAGGCTCAGTGGCTCCATGATAACACTATGAGAACAAAGGGAAGCTCCACCTCCCATGAAGAATTAGGGAAGGTTCAGTTGGGAGGAGGAGAGCACAAGGTAAGACTTTCCCTTCACATGACCCCATCATCCTGCCATTTGGAATCCAGTTACGTCAGGACCACACTGTCCTCTGGGACACACAGAACATGAACGAAGGCTTTTTTTACATTCTCCCCCCATGGTAGTGATCCAGGATAAATAGGTATACAAATAAATATGTACAGCCTATTCCTAAAAGTTTTAAAGTGTTGAAGCTGAATGCAACATAGCTCCTAAAATAACAACAACAAAAAAATTCACATGGACCAACTGAAAATAAAGACCAATTAAAAGAAGCATGTCACTGGGACCTGAGCTGACTTAATCATGGGTATCAGGCAATTAGGTTGTAACCAGAAAGCTAAGGGAAGGAGGAAAATGTGATGGGTTACATAGTTACCAGTTACAGAAGAAAATATAGACGTTTGTCCTGTAGAGATAAACTTTTCCTTTGTACTGGATTTGAGGAAGAATGTGTGTCATGGTTACTTATGTAATGGACACGTGGCACCATGCTTACGTAAGGAATTTCTATAAGGACACGATATCTCCAATTGCAGTTTTGCAAAAGATACAGAAAATACACGCTTTGGACAACAGACCAGAGAGGTGGGGCTCTTCTTCCCGACGAAAGCCTGAGAGTTAATCTTGCGTTTTTCACCGAGGCGGAAGCCATGACATTCCTCCACAGGCACGGGCCATGGACATGCTTGGGAAAAGCATCAATTATTTATCTAAAAAAAAGGAAGCCCTGAATTCGTTTAAAGAGGTTAGCACCTACTGTGTGTTGGACATGGATCCAGATATTTTATAAATTGTATTATGAAGCAACAGGCTGTGTTGACAAGATTACGGACTTGTAGTCAGGTCTAGATCCTTCCTAGTGTGACCTTGAATATATTACTGAACCATCTTTATGCTTCTGGTCACACGTTTGTCACGTGAGGTCAATATTTTCTACCTTAAGGGGTCATTGTGAGGATAAAATAAGAGAAAAATGAACAAAAAGTATGTAACTCACTGCCCAGTGAATACATGCTGAGTCTCTGCTCATATAATCCTAACGATTCCGTAAAATATTGCTCCTACAGATACAATGAGCTTGAGAGAAGTGATCTGCACTAGACCGTGTAGCTGGGAACTGTCTGAGTAATGGTATAAATGAGTCTTATTTTAACCTGACACTCTTTTCCATCTAACCGTTTAATTAGTTGAGACTCTTGAGTCTCTATCATTTCAACTGAAAGTGGTAATTTCAGCTAGAATAATTTGAGCCTCCATCATTTCCAGTGTGATTATGAGCCAAAGCTTTAGCAAGGTACTCACCTGACCAAAGGTGAAGTCCATCAAAGCCATAGGAGTACAGGTCATCGCCAACACCATTGCCTCCCCATCCTTCTCCACCGCCTGGGTATGGAGCATAGCCTGAGGAAGAGGCCCAGCCCACCCGCAGATGTGTGGGCTCTGCTGTTAGGAAGGGGTCCACCTGGTCGATAATCAGCTCGAAGTACCACTTCTTGTACTGGGCTGAGCCCTCCGCGACTCCCAGGAAGATGTTTGGCCGGATACTGAAATTAAACATGGGCAAGTGGCATCTACAGACCCTTCAAAACTGAGAAAGCAAGTGGAACCAGGCCATAGGAGGCAATGGCCCATTTACACTGAGGACAAGAACAATGCTGTGTTTTTCATATTGCTCAAAAGATGGGAGGGATCTCTAAAAGCCAGGAGTCTGAGATCAGCCTGGGTAACAAAGTGAGACCCCGTCTCTACAAAAATTAGCTGGGTATGGTGGTGCACACCTATAGTCCAAGCTACTTGTGAGGGTGAGGCTGGAGAATTGCTTGAGCCTAGGAGTTCAAGGCTGCAGTGAGCCATGATTACGCCACCGCACTCCAGCCTGGGCAACAGAGTGAGACCTTGTCTCAAAAAAAAAAAAAAAAAAAAAGCTTAGGACCCTCAACATTTGGATCAAGTTCTTAGCGTGACACATCAGGACAATATTTTCATTACAAAATATAAAGGATGTTCCTTGTAACATTCCATCCAAGGCAACCAACGTTTACTGAGTGCCAACCATGGGCAACGATGTTGAAAATGTTCCACAGATTTGTACGATTACAAACCTTTGTTTCTTTAAGTTAAAAAAAAAATTTTACTTGAATTCCATTTTCTGGTCAATTGGTATAAGCACCCTTATTTTCAGAATAGCAGCTTTGTTACCAAAGCATTATTAATAACACTGGTCTCTTTAAACCATTAAGAAGTCATTACTAGGCAACCCCGTTAAGGAAAAGAGGTTTTAATGTATCCGGCAAAGTGGTTAAAAGCTTAAGATACTCCACTTAGAGTTTTTATGTCAGGAATCATACTCTCACAGACGAACTGTTCTTGGGCTGGAGCTGTGCCCTATTTTGGGTGGGCAAAGAAAAACCAGGCTGGCACCATGAAGAAAGTAAGTCTGTGTGACAGCTCAGGTCTTTGGGCCACTCTGCACTTCAGAGGGAAGACTCTATTCTTGCCATTGTGGATTCGCGTGTAGGCCTAGGTAGAAAGTGGCTAGAAAACCGCAGACCTGCCTAGTCCCAGCCCAGTGAGTTCACATGAGTCACGGGCAGCCACATGTATGGACTAGCAAGCTAGGGGTCCTGCAGGGGCCCCTGCTCTTCACCCTGATCCTCGCAGACAGCAGTGAGATACGTGGCCATGTGCCAGAGGATTCAAGAAGCCACAGTCTCACTTGGGACATCCATTCCATAAAAAGATTATAGAAAAAACCGGTTGGTATATAAAAATAAATATGACTATACTATGAAGTTATAAGAGTTGCATTAATGTTTAAAAGAAAACATGGTAGGCCATCTCAGGTCAAATTCTTTAGCACTCAGATGACACATATACTTTGTCCTCAGCTACTTAAACAGAACAGTTTGAAAAATTGTGCTAAAGGGGTTGGAGGCCCTAGTCATAGGAAGTACATGTTTGCTTGGGCTTGTCTTACGTACTTTGATCGCCATGGAAACTATGGGCAGGCAACGCTGGAGTTCAGATCAGCCCTCTTTTCCTGCTTGGAGACAAGACAGGCAGAACTATGCTTGGCATCTGGAATGACGGTGGTGGCCTTACCTGGTTACATCGTTAATCAGTCGTGTCTGCAAGAGCAGGTTTCTCCGGGGCAGCAGGTTGTCACAGATCAGATTCTGGTTGGCTCTCACTGCAACCCCATTGCAGAGACAGAGGGAGCACAGGATATCCAGAACCTGCAGCAGGACACACCCACCAAACTTTAGGACCACCAGGAGGGCACAGTGAGCAGGACCACCACAGGGCATGAAGGAAGGAGTCATAAAGGGTGGGGTCTAGGTGATGGGTGGAGAGCCAGCTCAGAGCCAAGGAGGATTTGCCTCTTACCCAGAAGGAACGAGTGATGCCTCAGAGCCTGCTGCTTCTTGGGAAAATGAGTCCGGGCTTTTTTCTAGCCCCTCTGCTCTAGTCTTATGCCCCTTCCCCCCAAACTGTGCATAACATCAGTAGCCATTGTTCTATTACAGTAAGTAAGAGGCTGTGCTCTCAAGACAGACTGTCGATATTATCCCAGCCAGGCCAGGACTAAGGTGTAGTGAGGCATCTAAGGCACAAAATCTAGGCCCTGCTCACGGTCTCAGCTCTGAAAACACACAGCAGAAGGATAAAAGGCCCTCCATGGACTTCCAACTCGAGCAGCACACTCTCACCCAGCCCTGATGGTGCTTGGCGCTGAGTATCAGTGGCTACTTATTAATAAAAAGGCACGTAAGATTCCCATCTGGCCAAGGTGTTGCATGTAGCAAGCTTGGGAATGGCATTTTGTGTAGCTGGGGTGATGGTAGGGCAGACTCCTGTTCTTCGGTCGGTTGCTGTGATACCATCAAAACTCATGAAGATACCCTTTAATTCCTGGAAACTGGTATTCTAAATATTTAACTCGCTCTCCTTCTCCCATCTAGAAGGAGAACAAACTGACAAGAGCCCACGTGGCCCAGGAATCTAAGAGACCCGTCATTAAACTGCTTCTGCCCCTTGTTTTCCAGCTGCCTAGGAAGTGGGAACAGCCTCTGTTTGCCTCGTCCTGCACGCTCACCTCTCCTTGCACTGTATCCTCTTCCATTCAGACCTTTTTGTTCCTATCATGGCAAAGCGAACTGTGCTGGGCCAGTCAGGCTCTGGTCCTCCCGCTCTCCTTCACAGAGAGGAATGTGCAAACAGCAGTCGATAAATAACAGCCACGATACGGCAGGTTGTACCAACAGAGAGGCAGGCAGCCTCGCTTCAGTCTCTCAAAGTGGCCACTGAAGACTCAATGCTTAGTGGGGTTTGATAGCTTCAAGGTGTTTGTGGCATTTGTATCCATAATTCCCACAAACCAATTTTCTACCTGACTCCCTGAATGTCAGTTTTGTTCCAGATAAATACAAAGCACATTTACGGGACAAGCAGAAAAGAATCCCAAATGCAGTTTTGTGGGGGACTCTTACCATTAGCACTCTGTGAAAGATTTCAACTGTGGAAACCTGAAATCCAGAGGATAATTTCTCACCCTAAGAAAAGAGTCATAGATGGCCAGGAAATGAAATACTTTTCAGTCGGCCTATTACACATTTCATCTGTTTTGCCTTGGAGTGATGGCTGCGGGAGACTTGCTGTCACAGCCAGAGGGAAAGCAGGGCTTAATCCACATACGGTAAGAACAGCAAAGAGAAAAAGGCTCTGTGAAAAGCACACAGCCGAACAGAGCAGTGCCTCATCTATAAAAAAATGATGCCACTTAAAGAATCAGAGTTGACATTGTTTCGGTTTTGCTTTAGGAGACACTCCTTCAGGTAAAACTGGGGAATGGGGATACACTTCCTTTTCTAAAATAGTTCAAATGGGTTTGTGAAAGGAAAATCTCTTGGGCCCCCAAAATCACCAAGGAAAACTCAAGCTGGAAACTGCTTAGGATAAACCTGCCTCGCGTTCTATTCAGTCACTGCTCTGCTCACCGAGATAGATGCATCTCTCATTTGCCTCCTTTGGAAAGGCTAATCAGAAACACAGAAGAATGTAACCAT